TGATGGGAGAAGGAAGCAGGAGGACAAGGCAAGGGGATGACTCCCATCCAAGAAAATGACTGAGAAGACAGACAGACCACATCCATATAAGTGCTTGGCTCCAACGGGAATGTGCTGTCCTTTGGACAACTGATTACTGGAAACATTCAGGCCATTTTAAATTTGAAAAGACAAGCACCCAGATTATTCAGCTCAAGGAGGGCAGGGCAGGCAGTGCAGGAATGGACCAGCAACTGACTGGAATTGTAACAACCACAATTTGGAAGTGGCATCTCAGACTGAGGCGTTCCCAGCTTGACAAGGAGCATTTGGAAGCAGACACTGTGTTCTGTGTTCTAGCTTTGGCCTCTGGGGGAGGCAGGGCTGCTCAATCTTTTCCTCCAAGCTTTGGGAGAAGTGTCACACTGACTTACTGACTCATCACAGCTCGCAAGGCCCTGTGACAGCTCATTTTCAAACAGAAAAATCTCTTTAAACATCTGGCCTTGAGGTGGTTTTCACTGGATATGCCAACTCGCCTTTCCTTAGAGATAAACCTGGTTTGGGCATTTCTTACCTGTATTTCTAATGTCACCATTTCCTCAATCATTTATCTGCCAACATCAAGTTTCATGTGTTCAAGTACTTGGTTGAACTGGAGAATTTAATGAGCCAGAGCCTCCATCCAGAATTACCTCTACTCAAAATTCCTGCTTTACAGACTCTTCAAGGTTTAATACTAAAACATGTATTATTCAGTTTAATCTCCCATTTGTCACAGACGTAGAAACCCAGAACTTTTGTCCTTCTAGTCCTGTGAACCAAAAAACTCACATCTGACAGAAACAAGACCTTCCAGATGGTTCAAAAATGTCCAGCAACACAGAACTTATTTCACACAATCATGGAATTACAGAATGGTTTGGGTTGAAGGGACCTTAAAGATCATCCAGTTCCACCCCCTGCCATGGGCAGGGACACCTTCCACTAGCCCAGGTGGCTCCAAGCCCTGTCCAACCTGGCCTTGGACACTTCCAGGGATCCAGGGGCAGTCACAGCTTCTCTGGGAAAGCTGTGCCAGGGCCTCAACACCCTCCTAAAGCAGTTGGTGGCCATGGCCAGTGATTCCCTTTGAAATCTGGGTGTGATTCCTAATTTGTCTGAAAGTGCCAGGGCTCAGCTTCTGGATCTGGGTTCCCAGGCCAAATTAATCTCCTTTAGTGAATTACACATAATCATTTAGTGAATCCCAAGTATCCTTTAGTGAATTACAGCTAATGAACTGCAGTGTTCTCAGATGCACGAGCACTGGGTGACCTTCTGTCGCACGTGGCTGGATGGGGGAAAGTGCTCTGGCCTCAATTTGTCCCACTTTGATGCAGCAGGGATGTGCATGTGCAGAAATTTCAATTCACAGGGATGCAAAGGCTGCTGGACAAGGCCACCCTGTGCCCTAAAAATAAGATATTCAGTGATTTCTAACTTGTGTCCTAGAGTCCTGTTCAGAAAGTCACCTAAGAGCAATAAACCCAACTGTCAAAGTCAGGCCCTCATCCTGTGTTTAACACAATCATTGGAAAATTTGAAAAAAAAACCCCTGAACTAACATCAATGGCCTGTCTGTCTGTCCATGCAAAGTATTCTTCCTGCCCTCCAACCCCTTTAGGGAACTTCTGGGTAATTTCTCAATGCTAAAAAGATAAGAACACAAAATCAGAGTATGTCCCTTCTGGTCTCACTAATGTCATATACAGATGTCCAAACTGCCTTGCTTATATTTACATACTCAGCATATATTGCATCAGACACATTTTTTATTGCTCTACTTGATTTGGGACTCCACTTCCCATTTTCATGTGCTTTTATACACAACCATCAGATCTAGAAATAATGCTTTTATGTATTTAAAACACCTGGAGTGGCTTTTATGCATTTAAAACAACTGCAGGAACTTGGAATTTTCCATTAAAAAACCCCAAACAAATATTGCAAAACGTGGAATTATTGAACATGTTCCAACATTGCCAACAATCTATGACTTTTTAATGAGTAACTACAGCAATGCTTTTTCAAACTGTTACTCCAGCAGGGCTTCAGTTACTTTCCCTTTTTGAAATATTTTAATAAACTTACCCTGTTTAAAGATCAATTTACAAAGCAGTTAAGTAAATCAGACGTCTTAGAATCATCATAATTTCATTAATGAGTGGATATTCTCCACCACTTCATCCTCCCCACACTGCTGGAAGAGCCTCTTATCCCCCTGCGCTCCTCTGGCTGCCTATAATTCAATTTGTTTGCCCCTCTTTTTCCTTGTGAAATACAATCAACTGCAAAAGTAACAAGGATTAAAACGAAATAGAGACCAGCAGAACAACTGGGGGGTGCAGGAGAAAATAAAGATGGCAAATACTTTCCCTGAGAACACAGACCATGGACCAACAGCTTTGCTGCAGGGAAACTCTGCTGCCGGTGGAGCAGAATATCCTCTACACCAGCAGATCTCTGTGTATAATCACATGCTTTATCTGCTGATCAGACAGCAAAACTCTCACCATGGGCTGTCAAATTTCCTTGGGGAGATACCTGAAAAACAGAACCAACCACCGGAGAATGGCCATGTGTTTTTTTTTATTCTCTCTGAAATTCTCCAAGCAAGACCCCTGCAAAGGACTGATTCAGCTCAAAATTCAAGTGACTGATTTTTTAACAAATGAATCCTGCCCTTAAAATGAAGGTTTTTTAGGTCCTGACAGAAAAAAAAAGCAAAAAAAAAGGTAGCTGAAAGTATCAAACTTATTTACATTCCTTACATTAAGTTGGCAGTCAAGCCCCAAGGAAGATGGGAAAATGGGCCCAATCCCACTCACTGCCTTTTGCTACCTCTAAAGCATTAAACCTTCATGCTTATCTTTCATGCCTCATCCAGAAGGAACATGAGGTACCTGAACATCAGATTGAAGGGAGAACTTATAAGAGGCTAAATAAAAAAAGAATTTATTAGCCCTCCCAAATCCACAGATATAAAATATCCAGCAGGTCTCAACCAGATGCAGCTTCACTCCTTCACTTCTAAAGGGACTTCAAGGAGTGGAGGCTGTTTAGGGACTCTCAACAGCTTTGCTTTTCCTTGTCATCCCACCAAGATTCATTTACCCTATTTTTTAAATGAATTTCACCCTCTTTTTTTATTAATTCCACCCTTTGGATATGGGGCTCCCCTGCTCTGACAGTCCTGATCTCGAGTGGGGGCACATGGCCAGACACAGACGTTTTCTCTTCTCTTATTTTCCTGCATCTCTCAGAGAAAAGTAAGGACAAACACATCAAGGGTTTCTCACCTGCTCTCACAGCCCCAGCCCACGCAGACACAGGAATCATTTACCCAGCACTTAACTTTCTAGATG